AAACAACAACAACAAACCCCACCAAACCAAACCCAAAAAAACTCCACAAATATTTGCAGTATAGGTAAAAGTCCCTCTAATAATTAGGACTGCAATTAAGGTCAGTCGCAGTCTGTATTTGGATGTTGTAAATCTTGACTTCTAGTGTAGTTCTTGTCTTTCTTTTCTACCTGTTCGGCAAAGGACCTGTCTGCTGCACAAAGAGATGATTCTGACGCTTCAACTCGCTTAAAGCGAGGTGATTCTAACCACACTTCCAGGTATTTACATCTATGTTTTCTTTATTCGATACTCTTCAGCATCTTTCTTCTCTTGCAGAATCACGAGGTGCCAAGCCGCTTTGAAGCCTCCTGGTCTGAAAACACCTTACTTTCAAAATAAAAAAGAACAGCGTCGAAAACAAAACCTCGCAGCCGTCCTTCCCCCAGATACGGGAGCACAAATCCCTTTCGTATCATTTAATCACAGCTATAACCCGACAGCCCTTGCCTTTTGTCATTACCATGCTAGAAGAGAACATTTAGCATGATTGTCGGTAATACCCTTAGTGCTTTCTCTTCCCAACACTTTCTTGCACACAGAGAGACGCAGAGACTCCCCCGTCCCTGACTTCTCCATCCCTTGGTCAGTTTACATCTGGATGGTTTGGTTCATTTCTCCCTTTTTTATACACCCTTTAAAAACTTCTGTGTATCTGGGCGCTCTGCAGGGTAGTCATGCGGCTACAGGCCACGGGTGCCCTCTGCATTTTGGATTCGTGTGTGTGTGTCAGTCTGCACATCCGTGTGCGTGTGTGTACTCTAGAAAAAGGCAATGTTTGTCTATCCTCTCCCTACACGCGGAATCCAGGCCAGTGCGATGTGGAGCTCAATAAGAAACTGCATGAATAAACACGAATAGAAAGTTGTGCTCAGCTAACCGAGGAAATCAGAGCAATACTAGGGCACCAACGTCCACATTTCTTTTCACTTCGAGCCGGGGCAGTAACCTCATCTGGGTATGCTAAAAATTAAGGGCAACGGGCAAGCAGATTCAAGTCCCTCGAAAAGGCTGGTGTAATTGATCGGACAGAGAAAGCTGGGGGTCACCGAAGCCCACGCCTGACCGTGGAGGGCCGGCAGCAGCCGCGGTCCAGCAGGCACACAAAGGACCCCCAGCCACGCTAAAGGGCTAGGGCTGGCCCTCGGGCAGCGGCTAAGGGGAGGAAGGGAGGGAGGCAGACAGGTGGCTTCGGTGGTCCCCAGTCCTCCCCTCCGGTGAAACCGCAAAGTGGAGTTCGTTGGGGCTGAAGGCAGTGTTATAGCCCCACGGCGAGAGAATGGGCGGTGAGGGGGGTAACTACCGTCTCCAAGCTGCTCCGGAACCAGCTGGTCTCGGCCCGACTTCCGACGGGCGGGGCTGTGCCCCCCCGGCGGTGGGCGAGAGGCCGCGGTGCGGGACTTGGGGAGCGGGGCCGACGGGACCGGCTGCCGCGGAGGCAGCGCGGTGGGCGTCCGGGCTCCGGCCATCTGCCTCCCGTTCTCCGGTTTTCTCTTAAATATTGATCAAACGCACTTCAGCTTCCGAGTAATTTCATCTTAATCAACGGCCAGTCTCGGAGAGGATAACAAACTAGTACTGGAGAGGGGCTGTGGATAATGCCGGGCCAAGGGCAGGAAGGAGGCAACCCTCCAGTTTGGCGGGGCTCGATAGGCCCTATCTTCCCGGGGCAGATGGACTTAGTGGGTGAGAAGGCTTAAATGCAGCTTTTCATAGATTTACACCTCAATCAGCCATTCAGGTTTCTAATGCAAATCCTAAAAAACCATCATTTATCCATTACGAAGCCCGACTTTGAAACGGCATATCATTAGCTGCACCCTTGGCACCCCGAAACCGCGCAGGCACAGGCGTCCCCCAGATGAGTGTATGTCTTCCCCACTCGGCCGCCCCGCACAAAGATCCGCGGGCTCCCGGCAGAGGGAGACACCCTCAGAGAGGCTGAGGCAGCTCCCTCCTTCGGGATTGGGCTGAAGATCCGACCAAAGGAGCAACATTTTGGGGATGGGGGTGACAAATGGCTTGGGAGGAAAGGCCCTGCCCTTAAGCTTAAGCTGTCCTAAAGCTTAAGTCCAGGTACTGGTAGGGCGAGGCTAAGGGCGATCTCTGGCATCCCCTAACTGCCACGGCACGACAGGGCGATCTTCTGGAGGGTTAATCAGAGAGAAGAAAAATCCAAACCTATCAGTGTGAGGCTGAGCTGAGGTAGATTACTGCTGCCGGCTTGACGCCTTCTGGCTGCAGCTTCGAGACGCGAAAATGAAGAGAAAGAAAAAAAATATATCCCAAACTTTCATACCTTCGAATCCTGTCAGGTATTAAATTCCGTTTAAAATACTGCTGGATAAGAACGACATTGCTATCAAGAGGAACAGAAATACTGTGCTTCAAAACAATGTACCGACACAGAAAATCTTCCTACCCAAACCTGGGGGTGACTGGAAGGCCGGAATTTGTTGTTCTAAAGGCCTCTCCGCTGCCTCGATGCCAGGGAAGGCGGGGGAGAGAAAAAGCAGCCCGAGCTCTAGGGTGAGACTCGGTAAGGGTGACGGCTACTGGGGAACCTTTTATCCCCTCCGGGGTAATATTTCTCCCCTCTAAAAAACCGCGTGGGGGAGGGGACGAACTAGGTCCATCACACCACCCACGCAGAACACGGGAGCCCTATTGTGTGTCTGCCTCCAAGCAATTCCCGTCCATTTCAGTTCCTATTAACTCCCCACTCGTGTTGGTGGCGGGGCAGTGACACCGCAGGAGGTGTCCGTGGGGAAGACCCCGCCTCGGAGCCGCGCGTTGAGCGAAGCCCACGGGGCAGGGCAGGCGACCCCCGACGCGGCGGGCGCTGCCTCGGGCCATATGTGTCCTTCCCCGCGGTGGCTCCCGCCACACGCGGGGCCGTGTTCCGTGCGTGCTGGCTGCGCGCACACGCGCGGCGTGTCCTCAGGAGAACCAAAGGTGTATGAGCGTATTCGCACATCAGCTTATTTCTTAAAACTACCCATTAGTGGCTTGGTCTAAGATCTCACACTCCATGGGGGTTCTCCCAAATCCACAGGTAACCTCCTGCGGCGGAGGGGTAGGGGGTGGGAACCCAGGCACTTCCTTTGGCTTTCAGTAGACCTAGCTTGGACTTCACTAAAGAAGGGGGAGGAGGGAAGAGGGAGAGAGAACTCGGGCAACACAAAGGTAAATCGGAAGTCCAGAATAGTTTGGAAATGGTCAAGAAATTCCAGGCACGTTTCTATCTAAATCCCTGGTAATATTTAAAATTGTGTTTTCAAGTAAAAACAAGTTTAGAATTTACTTCTTGTTAATGCACATATGAATAATCTGCCAAGGGCAAAGAAAAAAAAAAGAAAAAAAAAGAAAAGAAAGAAAGATGCTGAAATACTGCTAGTCATGCAAATAAAGGCTTCTTTCAGCACATTACAATATACTCTGGATTCGAGGGGAGGAGCTGCAGCCCGCTTAGGGCGAGGAGTTTTTGTTTTTGTTTTCATTTAAAGCTACAAAACAAATCCCGAAATGTTTTAACCGCTCTCTGGAGACACTCGGCCCTACAGACAGGCGGTCGGGGGAAACCTTTTAGCTCACAGTGCACAAAAAAATGACCGAGGTGGGGGGAAACGATGGAGTCCGCGGTAGCGGAGGGGACACGGAGGGACACAACCGTGCCCCGCGCAGCCGTCGCTGTCGCAGCACTGTGTCCCCGTTGCCGCCCGCAGCCTCCTCACAGGGTCCCTTCGTCCCTGCCAAAATCCCTCCAGGGTGTCCCGCCGAGCCGGGAAAGGCGGGGACCGGCGGGGCGTAGGGGTCGCGCAGCGCTGCGTGCCCCGTGGGATCGCGGCGGGGCAGAACGCGGAGCGAGGAGCCCACGGGGAAGGCATGATTTCCCGTGGCGGACAGAAACACCAACATCGCTGGATAGATAAGAAAATGGAATACTGTATTTGATTTAGAAAGTTTGTACATATAGATAAACACGCAGTTAAGGAAACAATAGTTTAAGCGTCCTACGTGGAGTTTAAGAAGAGACCCCCCAAAGCTGCTATGAAATACTCAAAATAGCTTTTGCATAAGATAACTACAGTTGCACCCTAAGCTTTTTTTTTTCTTTTTCTTATTTTTTTTCTATCGCTGAGGTCCCTTTTGAAAACCTAGCCCGTCAGATTTTGACAGCTAAGTTTGTGCAAGGAACACCGAGTCAAGGAAAATAAAAAGGAGAGAGAGAGAAAGAGTGGGAGGGAGATAGACAGAGAGAAGGGAGGAAGAAAGAAGAGAGCAAATATCATATACAAGCATTTCTACACATATATTACAAACTGGGAAAATGACCGCATCATTAAGATATACATAATTCATATAAAATTTTGAAATAAAAATAAAAATCTGTTACAGTCATAACTATTCTTTTTCCACATTTATAACCAGTACCCACACAGGCAGTGACAGAAGTGTAGAAAAAAAGGTGCTTACGAATAAAATGATTGTCTGCTGAACAAAAAAACAGAAAATTGCATCTTGGCTGGACCATCACTTGGACTAAAAAAAAAAAAAAGAAAAAAAAAGAAAAAAGAGAGAAAGGGAGAGGAAGAGAGAAAGAGAGAGAAATAGGACCAACAAAAAGGCGATAAACGTTTGTTATTTCCCTCTTCAAGGAGTTCCTTTTAATTTTTTTTTTTATTTTTTAATTTTGTACAAATTCGATCGGAGTTTGCATTTGTTTGTCTGGTTTCTGTTTGTTTTCCTTTACTATAGAGAATATTTTTTCCCAGATACAAATTTAATCATCATCATCATGCAAGTGGGTGAAATGCGTCCATGGAAAAGCGCAAAGGAGAAATCGTGCTTGTCCTAAAAAGAATACAATTGTCACTTTTGCTTTGTTTTTTTTCTTTCTTCTTATATATATAATAATTATTATTTCCCTCCCCCCCCACCCCTCCCGCTGCAGCACCAGCGTTTGTGACTGTTGAAGTTTTAGCTCCATCTCTTGGTGGTGGTGTTGGCTGACGGTGGTGGTGGATTCTCTGATCCCTGTCTGTTTGTTTGCTATTATGTTTGGGTCGGGCTTGGCCTTTTCTTTCCTCCCGGCTGTGTGTGTGCGTGCATGCGTGTATGTGTCCTGATTCTAGGTTGCCTCGGTTTGTTTTGCTCGGGACGGGGAGAGGGTGCTTGGCTGTTTGGATTTGGATTTTTTTTGTTTGTTTGTTTTCCGATATCATACATCACATTCCGAGTCGCTGGAGGTTACCGAGAGGATGGAGGTGCCCGTCTCGGCTCTTTCTGTCAAACTGGAGACGCTGGTGGTCGGGCTGGCCGCCGTGGACGGAGACTC